CAGTGTGTGAATGGGTGGATGACTGAATATATTGTGAAGCGCTTTGGGGTCCTTAGAGATTAAGTAAAGCGCTATACAAATACAGGCCATTTACCATTTAATACTGTCAGAGTCAACTCAGTACTCATCTCAGAGAAATGATATCCTTAGGTATTGAGAATGCAGCAGATGGATGCAAAGCCCATCCTACATCACATAGAATTGCACATGATAGAATGGCATAGATTCAACAATGTATTGGAAGCATCCATCAGAGATTTTAGTCAATGTTGACGTGACAGCATCACACGATTTGTTGCCTGCAGATCCATGATGATCCCCTCCTGTTCCACCACATCCCAAAGGTGCTCTATTGGATTGAGATCTAGTGATTGTGGAGGTTGTTTGAGTACAGTGAACTTATTGTCACGTTCAAGAAACCAATTTGAGATTATTTAGACTGATTCATATGGTGCGTTAACCTGCAGAATAGATACACTGTGGTCATAAATGGATGGACAGGGTCAGCAGCAGTACCCAGGTACGGTGTGTTACTCAGCTGGTATTGAGCAAAGTCCCCTAAGTGTGCCAAGAAAATATCCTCCACGCCGTTACACCATTGATTGAAGGCAGGATGGATTCATGCTTTCATGTTGTTTATGTCAATTGCTGAACCCGTCATCTGAATTGAGAATCATAATTTTTTCAATATCTCATTATCCTATTATTTAGTGAGCCCGTGCAAATTGGAGCCTCATTTTCCAGTTGTAGCTGACAGGAGTGGCACCCTCTGTGGTCTTAAGTTGCTATAGTTTATCGGCAGTAGTCCTTATGCTCTTCTGCATATATTGATTGCAACGAGTGGCTATCTAAGTAACTGTTGCCTTCCTATGAGTTCAAAGCAGCCGGGTTATTCTCCTCAGACATCAACATGGTGTTTACTCCTAGAGAACCGCTGCTCACTGGATATTCTTTCTTTTTCAGATGTTTCTCTGTAAACCTTAGAGATGGTTGTGATGGAAAATCCCAGTAGATCAGCAGTTTTTGAGATACCCAGACCAACCCATCTGCCAGCAATAACTGTGCCACATTCAGAATAATTTCAAACACTTTTCCTCCCCATTTTGATTTTGATTTTAACTTCAGCAGGTCATCTAAATCATGTGTACATGGTGTGTGTGTGTGTGTGTGTGTGTGTGTGTGTGTGTGTGTGTGTGTAGATATGTTGTGTATATGTGGAAAAACAGAAAAAATGAGAGGG